GCTCATGATGCCCCCCAAAGGGACTCTCCAGCCCACACATTTCCTCCCTCCTCTCTGCCACCCTCAAGGCCAGGCCTTCAGCTATCTCTTGCCAGGGTGGTGGCCACCCTCATCCGCCTCTGGGGGCCTCTGCTGCCTACGGCCTTTCTCCCACCCAGTGGCCAGTGACAACCCACCCCCTACAGATTCCATGCCCGCCTCCCCCTCCTCCCATTCTCTTCCCAGATGCCTCCTCTTCTCAAGCCCTTCCCCAGAGGCTTCCCTGTGTCCACTGCCTCTGCTCAGCCTCCAGGACCCAGCTCAGAGGTTTCTTCCTCAAGCGTCTCTTACCTGTGCCCTCACCAACAAGGTGCCCACACCTGGTCACACCTGGAAGCAGGGACGGACACACAGGTGACTCTCTCACCTGCTGGGCTATAAACAAACTCCATGGCTATGTGCGACCCCAAAACCAATCCCAGGAGAAACACACAAGGTGCGTAGCAACACTGACCATGGTTGTCACTTATGGGCCTGGTGACTAGTCTAAAACCACCTGCCAGGGCAAAAGTGCTTGAGGAGATCACACCCACAGCAGACCTCTAGACTTCTCCCCCCAGTTCACAAAGACAGAGCCTCCGAGGCAGAAGTGGAGCAATGCAAAGGGGACAGAGGGGCCTCCAACTTATCCCTGTCACCTTCATCCCCAAGCCCTGGCCTGTGGGGCTCAGTGGTCTGAGCGTTGTCCCATGTGCCAGAAGGTCACTGGTTCGATTTCCGGTCAGGGCACATACCCAGCTTGTGGGTTTGATCCCCAGTGGGGGTGTGCAGGAGGCAGGCCATCGATGTTTCTCTCATTCCCTCTCCCTTCCTCTCTCTCTAAAGTAAAAATAAATAAATAAAAAGTCAACCATTTAAAAAGTAATAATAAAAAGACCCAAACCAACTACAAATGCAAGTACTAGTTCATTCCAGTGGCAGCCATTCATGGGCTTCACCACAGGCTGCAAGTATTTACCATTTACAGAACAGGCTGAGCCTCGACACAAGTAGCCCACTAGGACCCCAGCTCCCTCTCACCCTCCAGGCACCCATCGCTGCACTTTTAGACTTTCCTGTGCATCCCCGAGGGCAGGGACCCACAGTCAGCGTACCCCCAGGCAGAGTCTGTTTCTGAGGCCGTCTGACCCAGATCCCACACTGAGACAGGGATCAGCGGGAAGAAGACGAAAGCACAGTCCAGGAGAGCCAGGGTCCTGAGCAGTGCAACTCCTCCACTCCATTTCACAGAGGAGGAAACCGAGGCCGGGACAGGAAGTGGCTTCGTTGGTGGCTGCATATGCAGGGACCTCTACCTGCAGCTCTTACCCAGGCCTTGTGATAATCCTGCAAGGCCAGCAGGCCACATCTCAAAAGCAGCCAGGCTACCCCGCTAGTGCTCTCCGGGAGCTTGGCAGGTCACTTCCTCTCCAGGCCCTGGCATCCCCTTCGGTGAAATAGGGGATGCCACCACGTGGTGTTTCCCAAACTTTAACAGCAGAACCCCATCCCCACACCAGCATTCCTCCAGGGCCCTCTACAAGAAACAGATGAGCGCAGGATGGCTCTGGCCAAAAGGGGACTGGGGCATCTCTGGCCTCCACGGGAGATGTTTCTGCAGATTCCCCCATCGCGGAGACCCTCTGTTGGGCAGGCTAAGGAGTGAGGGCATGAGGGGGAAGGGACCAGGATTCAGATAACCCCCTCCGTCTCCAGCCCTGGCCAAGAGTCAAGGCCAGGTTCAAAAAATCAAATCTCTCCTGGGATGTCTGATGAGATTGAAACCCAACTCCCAACCCCACTGCCTTCAGCTCAAATCTCTGATTCTCTCCCTTCTTTGCTCTCCACGGCCACACATAAGCTGCCATCATCAGCTTTTTAAAAAAAATATTTTATATATATCTCTATCCACTGAGCCAAACTAGCCAGGGCCATCATCAGCTCTTACCCAGATCACTGTGCCCACTTCCCCCAGACCCCCTGGCCTCTACCCCTGACCCCCTATAAGCCACACTCCACATGGGAGCTGGAGTGCACGTTCACACACACACGCCCTCTGGCCCACAGAGCCCTCCAGGACTGCTCTTCCCCCACCAGGGCACCAGCCCAGCTCCTCTGCCAGGCCTCATCCCAGGGCCTTTGCACTTGCTGTGCCCTCAGCCGCCTACTCTTCCTCCAGGCCTCTGCACAGCCCCCTCATCCTTTACTATCACCCGCTTTCCTCCTTTGCTTTCTTCATAGAATATCGAGATCATCCCTCTACTTGGCCTCCCATTGATTTGCCCAGGTAACTCGCGCCTGCCTCCATGCTAGGATGCGGGACTCCGGGGCTGGGGCCTGCCTTCCCAACTACCACACTCTACCCAGACCCCAAAACCAGTGTAAGAAGATGCCCAGGGACACACCAGGACCCCCAGGGATGGGGTGGCGATGCCAGACATGCCCTGCTCCCAAGCTGGGCAGGAGCCAGATGCCAGTTTCAAAAAGTCTTTGTGCTTAAAGGGGCTTGAAAATGGAACCCAACCTCAAAACTGTGCAGATGGGCAAGGAAGGCCTGAAAGGCAGTGATCTGCCTGGCGTCTTCTGGCTGGAAGACTCTCTTCTCCAAAATGGCCCCAAAGTTGGGCAGAGAATGGACTTGTCCCTGTAGAGGGGAGGGCCGGTCCCATTGTTAGCTCAGGCAGAAGAGCAGGAGGAGAGAGGGGTGCAGCAGGCCCACACCCAGGGCTCCTCTGCCCGGACAGCCAAGTCCTCCCTCCTGGCCTGGCCCTCCAGGAGCATCACGGTGGGACCTCTCCAGCAGGACCCCGCCTCCTCGCCGTCCTGGCTGCCTGTTTCCCATCAAGGCCACTCGAGGTGCCTGGATTTCTTAGGATCCTGTGACTAGGCCATTGGCCATCAGCCACGGGAAGCCTTCCCTCCTGCAGGCACCTTCCCTGGCACTTTAACAAAACTGCCAGCCACCGGTGCCCTTGCGGAGGAAGGTCGCAGCTCCAAGCACCTTTCCGGCTCTCCCCCACACTAAGAGATGGCACTGATGATCCTCTTGCATTGCTCTGGGAAGGAAAATGCGCCTGGGCTCGGGGCGCGCCTTTGCCCGAAGCCACAGAGACGGTAAGCCGCAATGCCAGCTGCAGGCTGCCGCCAGGCCCAGACCGAGCTCCCAGTCTTAAGGGCCCCCAGCCCGCACCCGCAGGGTCTGGGAGTTAGTGCGGCCCTCCTACGCGCCCAAGAGCACCCCGTGTCCAGGACCCAACGCCACACCCAGCAAGAGGAGGGGCTTCTGGGCGCCGACACCCCGGGGCTCGGCTGCAGGACTGAGCCTTGGGGCCTCTCAGGGGTCCCCCTCAGCTGCCAGGACAGGTGGCCTCTCTACCTCTCCAAGAGACGTGAGGGTCCAGAAAGGCCGGCTGACCGGCCCTGCAAACTCCCCCTGGAGAGTGCGCCCGCGCGCCCGCAACCGCGCTCACTCAAGCTCCTGCCGTCGGGGAGTCCTCGCGACCCCCAGTCCCGCTCGGACCTCGCACGCCCCCTCAAAAGTCACGCCCTCGGGCCTCGCAC